AACCTACTCGCCAACTACATGGACCTACGAGGTGCGAAACGAGTCACAGGGACATTCGAGCCGTTATTCCCAATTACGAAGCGCAAGGATGCTCAAGCTCCAATGTCTGTAGTCGGACAAGTATCATCGAAGCCGAAAGCACAAAAGGCCCCCGTCGATGCTCCTGTCCCGGCCATAGAGCACACAAACAGCCCCTCCCGCATCATCATTTCTACCGCCCTCCCGCGAGGGATCATATCAGCCCTCCAAGCTAACCTATCGGGCATCGATCTCGTAGACCGTGACTTCTTACGACACAACAAACGCGTCTGGTCCCCGGGAAGCGTAGAGACCGTAGTAAAGCCATCCCCGCTATCCTACGAGGCCGACATCATCCCTTCCCCAACAACAGGTATAATCATCACAACTATCCTCAAGGTCCGACAGAAGCCCCTTCCAGGATCCCAAACACAGCTCTCTCAACTCCGCGGCCGCGTAGCAAGAGTCGCACCGCTCTACGAACAACTGACTATCCTCGTCTCGGAAGACAACCCCCTCGCAGAACACATCGGACCGCTCAGCGCAGCCGACGCCGCATCGTACGCCTCCTTCGTCGCTTTCGCATGCTCCCTCAGCAATAGCAGCGGCTGCACCATCGACGTGGTCTACGTGGCCGGCGGCCAAAAGACACTAGCCCACTGGACGTGCGCCCTCGTCTCGACGCACCTCAAAAAAGCATCCCACGACGTGCAGCAAGTCATCATGTCGGAAGAGACGGAATGGGAAGTCTTTCTCCGACGCGCCGGCTTCAACATGTACGCGGCCCAGGTCGCTCTCGCAGTCGTCAAGGGGGGTTATCCAGTCGTAAATGTCGACAGCGACGGCGGCGACGGCAACAATGACCAAGACTGGACGCTCGTGCGGTTCCTGAGAATGAGCCCCTCGGAGAGAGCGAATGTGCTCAAGGGCTTTCTTGGTGGTGGGAGTCTGGTGGACAGAGTCAGTGCGCGTCTGGGCTGAAAAGCTGGAAGGGCTGGCTGCGAGTGGAAGGTGTTCGGAAGCTGGCGAACCCATCTGCACATAGTTCGGATGGACTTGATGAGTGTTGTGGAATAAGGTATAGGTGTATGCAGGAGGAATCATACGTACCTTGCGTCGAACCCGCGCGTGATGCGTGTGATTAACCTTCGCTGCAGACGAGGATCGGTTGGCTCGGGCGAAGGTTTTGCGCGCGGGTTGGGACCACCAGGCGATCTGAATAGGACAAAAACGTCTCATCATCGGTCTGCCGAGACGGCGCTGTCCACTTGCCCAGTGAAAGAACCGTGTCAGGCACACACCTACTATACCTCTTCATTGCAGGCGGCCTTGCAGATTCTTGTGATGCCGAGGGAACCAAGGGCCAAGACATGTCGTGAGCAACTCTGCTGCAATTCTAGCGCTTTCTATTCAGAGATATGATGAGACAAATTCGAAGAAAACGTTGATATTACAAGTAAGAATAAAATAGAAAATGCTTCCTGAAGCTCGCCTCCTATTCCAACAATCTTGGTCCACGCCATGTTGAGGCCAGCCTCGGCCCATGTAAGTCGTGACTCTTTTTTGGTGGTCTATGCATGCAACACCGAAAACGCCTTGGCCCTATTTTACATGTAATGATATGGTACAAATAGGTGGTACAAAGAAAGAAAACGGATGAAGACAGTATGTACGCTGCAAGGAAAAGTCGCACCTATCCCTCGCATTCTATATGGCATTGGGAGGAATCTTGTCACCCTTTTCGAGCGCCTGCTTGATGGCTTCAGAGTTGATGACGCTCCCCATGACCTTTGTCAACAGGTCTTCATCAGGCTGTTGGAAGCCCGGGCGGAAAGGCGGCAGGGCCTTGGTGCATTCGGTCAAGTCGTTGATGTTATTGACACCAAGCAGAGACATGCGGACGTACTCTGTCGCATAAGCCTAAAGTTTAGGTTGTTAGTCTCGGGAAGTCTATCCAGATGGGACGAACGTGTGACGCCGTCAGGAAAAGTCTTACCTCGTTCCACATGAACTGACCGCGCGGCCCCGCTGCGAATGCCTTCCAGACCCCATTGGTGCGCGGGTCCTGGGAAACGTTGATATCGCTCTGGAACTTGAAGACGGCAGGAGGGGCATTGGGGTTGAGCGTTTGCTGGTAGTAGGCGATATCCCAAGTTCCGGGTGTACTGTCTTGGGGCGAGTCGGCGCGCGAGGGATCAACGAAGCGTTGCTGGCTGGTGCTGTGCGCGCCCATCAGGGCGACGAGGCCCGCTGGAGTGAAGGATTTGTCTGCGAAGAGCTTGAACAGCTTGGCTGAGCTGTCGGATGGATCCGGCAAGAGCTTCTTCACCGCGGGCGTTGTAGAGTCTTTGCGACCAACAAAGGTGCGGACTCGGGGTCCCAAGGGGCAGGAAACAGTGGCAACGTTGGACGCAGTCTGGATCAAATCGGCCATGGAGATCTTGTACCTCTTGTACTTGGCAAACCAGCCCTCCATGATATCACAGATCTCCTCAAGGCCTTTATTGTCGGAACGCGTCTTGCACTCGTTGGCAAGAATGATGGAGCCATCGGCGCCAGTGCCGCCGGTAGATTTGGACCAAGACGCCGCGTCATGGAAACCAAGGCGAATAGCACCACGTGCGACATTGTTGCAACGCCCGGCATTGCCCACCATTTGTGCCGCCATATCGTCGACAATGTACTTCCAGATGCAGCATTCGTCTTCTCTGCACTCCGCCGAGTTCTTGGGCGGAAGATCGGAGTCATCGTAAAAGCTCTTCAGGTCCTGGCCTGGAGCCTCGGCAGTCAAAATGTCCTTGATTGCCTGGCCGGTCGCAGTGAGTTCGCGGCCCCGAAGCGTGGCAAGATCGCCAATGAGCTCTGTCGAAGGACCGCCACCGTCCGCTTGGCGAGCCTCGAGCTTGGCATCGGCCATCATCTTATTGATGTCCATACCGGGGCGAGCAATCACAACACCGGCCAGAGCGGCAGTGATGAGAGACGTAGTCTTCATGATTGTCACGGTCCAACACTAGCGACAACAAACGAAGAATAAGCGATATAAACGATTGGAACGAATCGAACACCGCCCGAAGGTCAGGATGGCTGCAAGTCGAAGCGAAAGGTGGTAGAGCTGAAAGCGAGAGATGCAGTGCTGGCTCGAGATACCGTAACGAGAGCGATTGCCATCGTCAATTATATCTTAGTCGGAGTGCGTTACGGAATGTTCTAAAAAGCTTCTTTGACTTCCGGCTCATGGACAGCCGGCCGCTAGGACAGCGAAATCCCAAGTCTGATTCCTGACATGAGAAGATGCAGATGGAGCAGCTGCACACTTGGTCGTTCAAGTCCGTCCATGTTACATGTCTCTGAGACAGGCCCCGCGGCAGCGGCGATCCAAGCAATTTTCTCGCTCAACGTTTTGCTTTCGGCCGGTACCGTCGGTCAGCTCTAGGCATCAAAGTTGGATAGCGGTTCCGAACAATCGCCCAGAGTATCCCTGTCGATGCCATGAAGAGCATACACGCTTCAGATGCCATCGATGCTGGTTGTGTCCAGTCAATCAGCGGGGTCGTTTCGCTCAATGCCCTGCCATGAGTAGATAGACCACGACCTTATTTTGTGGGATCTGATGTCGATCGGAATGCGACCGTTGCTTCTCATTGTGGACAATGTAGCCAAGGGAGGGACGTCTGCACGGCCACTGATAGGCGGTCGATGCGAAAAGTCAGCGGGGAGCCTCGCGATTGCAGCCAAAGAGGACATGAACAGCGGGAGCCAGTTGCTCGTCTAAAGGTTATGGTCTTTGTCGGGCTAAGGCTACAACGTGGGGCATGCTAGTCAGGAACGACAGTGTCTGTCCAGAACGGGGAATAGTCTAATGGCGAGAACGCTTGGTCGTGGCGCCGTGCAAGTCGGACAGAGAAAGTTGTGTTTGAAGGCCTCACCGGCGGTCCGTGTGACGGAACCAGCGAGGAATTGACGAGGCTTTCCAATATGGAGAGAATGGCGACACAATGATGGTGGCTTGCAGAACTCAGCTGAAATGTTGTTTGCACAGTCTCCGAATCGGCCGGCCAGGTCGGCGATGACGAAACTGCTGAGTTGAATGCGCTGATATCACCCGTTCGGCCGAAGAGACTTTGCATGGATAAGAATACGATGGCATGTGAAGCCTATACTTCGGTCTCTCCATCCGTATGGTCTTGATATCCGCTAACATGAGCTCGGGTATGCGAGGCACAAGCTGGTCTCTCAGCCTCTGGAGTCGACATTTCCTTCAAGCACCTGCGGCTGACCTCTTGGTCCCTCCCACAAGACGGCCTGAGCCAGTTTCCACGTCCTCACTCCACTTGTCGAGTTCCATCTGATTCGCCGGGCAATTCTTGATCCGTGTGGCTGAACAGTCTGGAGGGACAGAATAGCTCGGATGACTCTGGGACTCAACGCTCCTGTTGATCGGCGGCGGAACCGAATCTGCACAGAACGACGTGAATATGGATAAGCAATGGGTGTCTTGGTTTCTTTTCAGTAATTTTAGGCCGCATCAACATCTGCGGCATGCCATGCAAAGGGATGCGCTTTTTAGCTATTCGTAGATCTTGGCTTCAGTCATCCGAAATCATGTTGTCGTTACGCTTGCATGCTGAGACCTCGGCCAGATTCAAATACACGCCAGGCCATCGACCTCGCCATTACAACGGAGGAATTAGGGCCGTATCACGGTAGCCGGAGTCGTCGCATGATCATCACCTCCAAACTAGTGTTGTCAGACCAGAACCGCCATCATGTTTTCAAGACAGCAAAATCCTTCTGGTGATACGTCTAGGGCGACTGACTTGCATGTATCGTTCCAAACCCTGCAGTAGGATGATGCCCTTGGTCTGCGGAGTCATCAGAGGATTCGGGATCCGAAATGCCGTTAGGGCATCGATGATACCAGGCGTGCCAACGAGGCGTCTCGCCTGTTACAGACCAAAGAGCGTTCGAAATCAGGTTGCTCACGATGCCTCGAAGCCATCGGCTGGATGTTCCATTGGACCTTGAGCCAAGGTCCAGACTTTGAGTGATGATTCGGAGCTGATGCATGTCGATGCCAGGCGGGGCTGGCCGTCGTTACCCGCGACACCCAGGCCATTGTCCAATTCCTCATCCCCATGGCTGGACCATCCGCCAGAGCAAGTGGCGATTACCGATCCTGTGGGGTGGACCCCTGAGCTCCCGACGGGTGATTGATGGGCAGCCCAGTCCCATGACTTGTCATGAACGCCCTCTGTGCAGCCAACGCCTTCATAGACGAGGACTTGGCCAGTCTCTGTTCCCGCCCATAGCTCGAAACCACCGGACGATCCACCAGTACCAGGGAAGACGTCGCAGGCCAGCCTTTGTTGGCTGTTGGTGGTTCGGCCCACTAGGACGCTCAGAGGCTGGCCTGTCCCACGCACATCGTAGACGAGAATGCCGTTTGCCTGTCGCTCGTTGATGGCTAGATAGCGTCCACATGGGCTCCATATGGTTTGAACAATGCCGTTTCCCCCGATGTCTCGGCCGAAGTGAGACCTGTCAACGCCTTGGATGCTCCAGTTCGCAACGGCCTTGTTTGTCCGAGTCACGTCGTAGAGACCCATCCAACGGGACCAGGTGCCAGCGGCGACGATACAAGCGCCAGACTCATCCGGGTGTTGGCTTGACAGCGCAGAGACCATTCCCTTCATGCCAACGCCGCCACCTTTGAGGAGATGCCGCTTGGAAGGGATGGTAGGGATGGTCAAGATGGGACCATCAGAGCCAGTCCGTGATACGTCAAAGTGGTCGAGGCGATTTGTCGAGCCGGCTAGGAAATGGGTCCCAGGCCAGGACCACAAGAGGGACTCAGGGCAGATGTACTCTTCTGTCTCCCGTCGGATAAGCTTGTAGGAGCATAGCGGAGGCGAAGACTGAGAGTCTGCAAAGACGTGGTAGAGCTGGATAGGGTGGTCTTTGCAGCCGAGAAGTGCAAGCTGGGTTTGCGGGTCGGCCAAAGAGAAGTAGGGCGAGACAGCTGCCGAGTAGAAGGGTTCCGGTAGACGCAGTTGCCCCTGCGGCGTCAACGTCCGGGGCCGGCCGTTGGGGTCAAGGAGATCTGCCGGCAGTACGTAGGCCGACAGCCGGTTGTCGGACGTTGAAGCGATGAGTGTTGTGCCGTCAGGAGTCCATTGAACTCCGCGAAAGAAGCTCTTGTGATTTCCTGGTGGATCAGAATCTCTAGCGGCTATCTCGGAGGAAGCTACGAGGTCCATGGAGGGAGCGGAAAGATGGGAGGGGTCCTTGGCCGAGTTTGCTGGGTCGTAGTGTTGCTGCATGGGGTCTGCATCCTTGTTTTCCGCCGCGGGATGCATCATTGATTAGGGTTGGAGGGCAGGTGGGCGATATTGAAGATGCACTAGCATTACTCAGTGGTGGGTGTGATTGGCGATGGAAAGTGAGGCTGGATCGCGCAGGGCGTTGAAGAATCAAGATTCTGCAGGCGTGAAGATCGCAGTGATATCGTCCAGGAAGCTAAACGGGGGTAGAATGTGCAGGTATTTGCCATTGAGAAGGAGTCAAGGGCATGTGGAGGGATGGATGGGATGCTCCCCGAATCGTGTTGGCGCGGTGTGCAAGTGTCAGTGGTGATGTGATTGATGCATCGTCTTTGCCTTGAATTTGAGGTCAAGTCCGAGTCGAGCAATTGGCAAGAGGAAGATTGCAGCGCTGTGTCTGCATTACTGCATTTTCAGTTGTGACCCTGGCAAGAGTGGAGACAGCTTCGGTGAGAGGCCCTGATTGTTGCCTTCACCACTAGCCTAAACTGGCTCACCACCTTCTTCACCGACCAAGTGGGTGTGCAGGTGAAGGTCGGGTCATCATGTGGTCCGTTTCCGCTGTTGGCGAGGAAGGCAGTACCTAGCTAGGTATCTTACCGGGCAAGTTGGGGAGGGCAGGCACGTTGATCGGCAGTAGAGCCCCAGACCTCAAGCGGCTTCCTTCCTCAAGCACCAAAGTAAGGCAAGGTGAGGTGAGGCGCCTCACATACTAACCTAGGCAGTTACAACTTACGGCACGGGTTCTTGGGAGGTTTTTTGTTGTAAAGCCCCAAAGATACCGCGACTCGTGAGTGCCTTCCTTCTATGGTGTTAGGTAAGCAACGGAGCGCTCCTGCGTTTCAGCCAGGGCAGATTCAGGTACGTAGATACGGACACGACACTACTGCGGGCAGGTGCACTGCGAAAGGAGTGGAGGTCACTAAGACAGCGACGTCATGGGGGGAGCTAGCGATGCATGTTCCTGGTCCTAGCGCTGATTGGGGAGGGACTTGCCGCCTGCAACGCCGCACCGCGCTGACACTCCGGTGACCCTACCAGCGGAAGGTACCTACTCCATTGCTCTGGCCTGCCCGCTGCGAGCCTGTGACACGAATTTCGCAGGTTGCACTGCGCCGTCCATTGTTTCCCCGTGCTCCATGCCTCTCCCGTCCTCACCTCAAACCGTACCTAAGGTACCTAGGTCACCCGTGTGGCTTTCCTTCCACTCTGACACCCAATCTCCAACCCCGCTGGTGCCGGACTTTATTCCTCCAAAGCACCACAACGAGTAGACCAACTCGACAGCTCGATTGCCCTTCCAACACTCAAGTGTCCTTCTGCCTTGCGTTTGGTGCCCAGGTACTGTGGATCTCAGCAGGTGAGACCTTAGAGACATTCTCTCGACCCGTGGCTGGTCGACTCATCATCTCTGCAGTTTCCTGCGTATTACCTACACATCAATCTGAGCCAGGCAGGCCATCTCCTGTCCTCCATCCACTACCACCGCAACTTGCAGCCAAGTCGCCGTGGGCCGGACTCTCTCGCGCCCATCTTCGCTGTTGCCGACTCCATCGTCCCGTCTCTCTCTCTTCTCCGTCTCTCGACGACTGCATCCCCACCCAAATCACCGAACCACCGACAGGAGCGAAGCCAAGGCGAATCCAAAGTCCCGCGACTACTTATTCCTGACCTTCCGACGATTACGCAATGCTCGCCTAGCTGCTACTTCCTCTTCCATCTTGCCGCTTTGCTTTGGGTTTCCGGGACCCCGTCATCCTTCCTCTGCGACGCGACGGACAACCCGCCTGTGGTTATACTCGAGAAAGAGCTGGTGTCACTGCCCACCAAAACAGCCGAGGCTGTTCATTGCAACCCACTTCCGAGACCAACGCCTGCACATTGCCATACTCCGGACGGTCCTGCTACCAAGTATGGTTGTGACAATCTTTGACGACCGCTGCGCCGAGCTTCGCGCTCCTGGCTTCCTCAATCTGACGATTTCCATGTGAGTCCAGCTCTACGAAGGGTTTCTGTATTATGCCAAGCAACAGCTAATTTGTTCCACACAGTATCATCCTCATCGGTCTCATCGTCTCCTACCTGCCGCAGCACTACCGAATTATCGCCAGAGGTACCTCGGAAGGCATCTCGCCATGGTTCGTCTTGCTGGGAGTCACGTCCGCCACTGCCGGCTTCGCCAACATTCTGACCGTCCCGCCCTCGAGACGCGACATTGCCTGCTGTAGCGAATTGGGTACTTTCGAATGTGCTGCTGGCTTACTCGGAATTGCCCAGCTGGGCATGCAATGGATCTCCTTCGCGCTGATGTGAGTTTCCCCTCCCATGTTTGTTCGCCAATGGCACATACACGCACTAACTCGTGCCTCTGGCAGCCTTGTCCTGTTCCTCATCTTCTTCCGGTACGACAATGCCACTGTTCCCGATGAGGAGCTGGTCGATAAGCCACCCTCGTGGCACACTGCTATAATGGTCGGCTCCGTGAGCTTGATCCACGGCCTGCTCGTCATCATCCTGACTGTGGTCTTCACCACCGCGCTCAGAGACCACCTCGACTTGTGGGCAAATTTCCTCGGCGTCATGGCCGCCGCTCTTGCCGCGGTCCAGTACATTCCGCAGATTTGGACAACCTACCACATCAAGCACGTCGGCAGCTTGAGCATCCCCATGATGTGCATCCAGACTCCCGGCGGCTTCCTCTTCGCCGGAAGCCTATTTGCCCGCCTTGGCTGGGAAGGATGGAGTACGTGGGGCGTTTTCGTCCTAACTGCCTCAATACAGGGCGTTCTTCTCGCCATGGCCATTTACTACGAATTTCAGGAGCACCACGGAGAGCCGCAATCTCCAACCCTCGTCGATGAGCCAAGACGCCCTAACCCGACCAGAACATACTCGGAAGGTTGGGAGCAAGGCCTTCCTGGCCCTTACACGGCCCATCCCGAACGGTACGCCGACACAGAGGAGGAGCTGGAGCGGTTACAAGACAGAGAGGAGCGGCAGGTTGAGCGAGAGACGAGACCTCTGCTGCGTCCAGGCGGCATTGGTGACCCGCACAAGAATTACAATGCCACGGACGATTGAGTGCTCCCAATTAGAGCGCTCTTAAATTTGTTTTAGCCTGGGAACGTAGGATGTAGCAGTACTTATTTTAATAACGGGGAGACCTTGCAAATACTATTCTTCTTTTCCCCTTTTCTAGGCTGAAATACATCCCATTTGCGAAATCTTTCCACAGTGACCTAATCATCGGCGTGTTTTTTGACGGTGATGCTATACTTACCTTTGGCCTCGAGATACTCGCCCACTAAGGTAGGTACCGAGCACGTGGAGCAGAAGCAGAACGACACATCCGCCGTGGAATAACCGCCAAAACACGAAAAAGTGATCGCGAAAACGACCAAAACGAAAGCGAGCAATACGACCGAACCTTAATCCTGCAAGTTGTTCTACCCATCTTGTCTCTCGTGCATGTTGCACCGCGGGGTTCCTCGGCGTTTCCGTGATCGTCGAATATTCATCGACATGGAAGCTAGCTCCTGCAGAATGGAGTTCGGTTGGATATCGCAATGGCTGTATGGTGGCCCAGTGGGCTACTGTACATACAAAACAAGCCAAGCTGGCTCTGATGGAGTAAAGTAAGCACATGAACATCGTGTTTGAAGCCAAGCCCACGGGGTAATGCTCCATCCTCAATTCCAGCATTTGCCACTACTCTGTATTTGACATCTCTGGCCTTCATATTCGCGACTGAAAATTCTGTAGCCGGAAAGAGGCTCGTGAAGCCGGGGTTCGATTGGGCTCTTCGTATTGTAGTCCCTCGAGCATTGGAGGTCCCATCGCGCGGGTTCGACCGCACTGCCTTGGGCAATATTCGTACCAATGCATCCGACTTGGCTACCGAATACTTCGACACGGGTATATTGTGCGTCGAAAGATGTTCGATCACGTTTCAGCTCACATTTAAATATCTGCATCAAACCGCGAGCTCGTTAGTCGCCCTCGCCGACCAAAGCTATGTAACTGGCATTCTAGGTTTGAAAACCCGGCGAGTCTCCGTCCGAGATCTCGCTCCAGAAATCACCGCAGTTTGTCTGCTCCCAATGCCACATGCGTGGGCATGCTCTATGATTTAAGCGTCTCAAACGTATCTAACCAACAGATCCCTTCTTCCTCCAAGCTTCGTAGGCATCTACTCACAAAAGCAGTCTATAAGAGTGCGTTGGAAAGGTCCGGTTTGCAACAAGAGCGATGCTGCGACAGGCAGCAAAATTCTTAGCACATCTCCCACAGAGGACGAGGCAAGACTGTATGCTTCTTCGGACTCGACCGCTTGCCTTGCTCCCGTACCGTCACGTACACCACCCGGCGGACAGGCTCGCCTGTAGTGACGGAGTGGGATTGTAGACCGTAGTAATCCGAGATGGAATGCGTCAACCATCGCCTGTAGAACACCAAGGTCAATAAACATCGCAAAGAGAAAGGGGGCAGGGCCATACTTGAAAGAAGCACTCTCGTCATCCCCCAACGAGTCAAACACCATCCCGTCATCAACCTTCTCACTCCCCACCTCCCGCCTAGCCTTCTTCCACCCCTTGCCAGCAGAAGCCATCCCCTTCCTGCCGACAAACACGATCTCCTCGTCCTCGCTATCCCCCTCCGCATCGCTCGCCTCGCTCCGCTCCTTCAAGAAACTCCGCACGGGTTCTTCGAGCACACGCACCCAGCCGCGAACGGCGGGCGTCCGCTTTGCAGTATCGCGCAGGTCGCGCGGCACCTCGCCGACAGACAAGCCTGTCGCGGACCCGTCCTTTCGTTGCTGCTTCTTGCGTTGAGCCTGGAGCTTGGCGGTCTTCTCTTCGATGCGTTGGCGGAGGCCGGTATCCCAGTACTGGGCGACTTGGTAGGGGACGACTTGGACCGGGTAGGTTGGATGGACTTCCCAGTCGCTTGGGAGGGGCGGTTGAGCGTTTGGTACGCCAATGAGGCGATCTATGAGAGGGGAACAATGTGGTCAGCTATTGGAAGATAAAGGATGACAGCGGGGATGTGTTTGTCACTGCAAGGACTCCTGTATCCAAGAGAAGGGAAGGCTCACCATTCTCCCATCGCCGACGCGCCCGGCTCCCCTCGTTCCCCTTCAAAAGCTGTTCCCTTTTCTTCTGACTATCCCGCCTGCTCAATGGTCGCCGGATAGGCGTCTGTTGTACAGTCGTCGTCGTTGTCTTCTCGGTGGCAATCGCGACAGCAGCAGAGGCCTTCTTGACCTGCTCATCGAGGTTGATAGCCAGCGGCGTTCCCGTGCCGCGGGCAATGGGGCTAACGCTCAGGGACTCGAGGGCGGAGACAGTCCAGGCCTCGATATCGACGGAGCCGGTGGTCGCGCTCTGGGCTGCGACGTGGGCGGCGACCGGAGTCTGGGACTGGGGTGGCGGCGAGGAGACGGTGTTTGGGATCTGGTGGTCGATGGCCTCGGGGGGAGGGACGGCGCTGAAGATTGCCATGTTGGGTGGTCGGGGTGATGATCGCGTGAAGGGATGGCTTTCGGCGGCAGCAGTGGGATCGGGAATTGGATAAGGTAGATGGATGGATGCTGAGAGCGAAACGCGGAGAGGAAGAGCCAGAGGAGAGGTGACGGGAGGTAGGGTTCAGGGCTGCCGATAAGGGGGCGATAAGGGCGGCGATCGCGGGGTGTGTGCTGCAGATAACAAAGAGTTTAGGTGGTTGGGGAGAAGACGGGGCTTTGGTGCTGTGAGGCGTCTATCGCAGGTCTAGGGGCTGTTCTCGAGGCGACGGGTTCTAATAATGCGTAGAGGTCTAATGTAGGTAGATCATATGTGTACGGTGATGGTAGTTGACATGAGGATGAAGTGGGAATGGCATTATCGGGGGAGATCGATGATGGCGACCGGGGTTGGCTTAGCTCCGGGGGGAATGGTGTGCATTGGATGACACACTTGATTTCGAAGCTTCGACCAATCACGATGCGAGCGCAAACCACGTCTTCTCTTTCGGCGTGATTCATGAGACCGATGCATTGCGGCTCTTGAATCACGTCGACTCATGCCTGCTCATTCAATTCCCTCACACAGATGAACGATCATAGCCAGTTCGAAGGCGAATGTTATCACTGGAAATTGCAATACTCCTGGCGTCAGTGACACTTTCAGGGATCTGCGAGGGGAATAGTGAAGTTGTTTGTATTTTGCCTCGCTCCTTATATCGAGTGAGTGATTACCAAAACGCCGCGAACCATCGTTCTCAGAATTACACCCGTCTATTCCTCATCATCTCACAAGGTTCCCATCTACTCTTATTCTTCTCGTCAATTCCTATCCTTTACTCCTACAGGGTTTCCATTCTGCTAAGTTTCCGTGGTAGCAGCGGGGGGTAATTATTTGTGAATGAATCGCAGTTTGCGAATGTGTTTTGATCGAAGAGTAAAAACTGCCTCAAAAGCTGCTTCTCTCCTTGGTAGGTTCTGGGTACTTTGACTGGATATCCTTGGCCTTGAAGCTTAGTTCATTTGGCAAATATCAAAGTACCAGTCTTGCGCCACGTAAGCCTCAGCTTTGCTGCAAGCGCCAGCCGTGCATGTAGCAAGGGCATGTAGCGACCAGAAGCGGGTATCGAATAGCGGATCCACACAGAAGTAGTAGACGCTGACTTTATTAATGTCGGGTCGGTACCAGTGATTCTCACTTTGTAGACAGCCCTGCCAGCATTCGGGGAGCTGGTGAAGGGGAAGTGGTCCCCTTGAAAGCTTTTCTTCCTCCTTTGGCCCTCCAATTTCTCCTGCGACTGCAAGAGAGACGCTGGAGAGGATGGCGAAAATGGCAGCGGCAGGCTTCATCTTGGCGATTGATAACTGTGTTGTGGAGTAGTGCTTCTTGTGATGTCGTTTGCGTCCAGTGTGCCAAGACGCTTGGGTACAATGCGAGGCTTGACTGATAAGTGATGCTGGATGAGGATGGATGCTTGGTTGATAGAAGAACAGTGAATGAGTGATGAAGTTTGGGAATGACAGATGCTTATAGGTGAGGAATGAAGCTTGAGGAGGCCTGATTCCTGAAAATCAGAGACGTTGTAAGTGGAAGAGTGTCTTCTGTCTAAGTGTCCTATCGTGCTTTTCTGGGAGGTATCGTGCTCTTTATGTATTTGTCCATATCATCTATATCCGCCCTGACGCTCAAGGCCTAGAACCTTAACCGAAAATTACTCATGGTCTCAAAGGTCAAACATTCATGAACCTTGAGAGCTACGCTTATACATGGAGTGTCAAATTCAGGCCAACAATTCGATATCAAGGTTCTCACGCAACCTAAGGCTGGCCTGTTGGCCAAGAGGCGCACCGGCCACATAAGGTTTCCCAAGGCCATGGTACCTATGCCGCGAAGCCTCCACCCTGCGTAAATTTCAAGATGGAAAGTCTCCTTTGTCAGTCACGAGTATCGGAATACCATACCTCAGTCAAAATTCGAGCAAATGGGAAGGTGGTCTTGAACGAATCGTGAGGCATGTCCAATCTACTGAGGTTGCCACTTTGAGATTACTGCCGACAGATAGGGTTGGTTCCTGCGAAGCTTCGATTTCTCGTCTGCTAGTGTCACTTTCGCCAAAGCTTGTGGGGATTACCACCAAAAGTCCTCGGCGGCAAACGCTGGGCAGTAGGAGATTGGTAACCTGCGAAAGAAACTAGAGCTGCTGAGAGAAAGTGTCGTAGCGGATGAGGAAGCACCTTCTACGCTCTTCCTCCTAGAAAGGGACATTTGGACAAGTCGTTAGACTACCGTATCGCTGGCCGCTGGAAAATGGCAGTGCGCCATCAACACTTGATGTCTTTCGCGCAAGCTGGAGCCCATACCGCTTAATTACTGGGAGTTCAACAGGTACCTTCTTCTACGTGTCGAATAGAATCCCAAAGAGCTCTTAGTAAGGTGGCTACCTGCCAGGCCCTTGCCTGCTGAGGAGATGGTTCAAGACGTCCCGATACTTGATTTCCTCTTAAGGTGCCAGAGCTCGCCGTAGTGGGTCCCAATCCCTGACACCTCCTTCTGCCATGTAAGGTGAGGTAAGATACCTCGGCCTACCTATGTATCTTCCTTAATATTGACGTGAAAAGAGCTCCGCCAGTAGTTTCATACTCCACCATAACGCTCAGACCGTTCGCCGCCGCCGAAATACCTCAACCATGCCACGGATGACTGCTCAGAAGCATTCAGTGAACAAGGAAATGAGGTGATCTTAGGCGGAACTAGGAAAAATTATCATATATCTAGCACTGAACATTGGGGTCTGGTAAGAGAGGAAGTGGGTGTGAGGTCGCCACGCCGTCATTTTCTCCCAACTTTAAAAGGCTTTTTTGCAAGCAGAAAGGTCGTTTGCCCGGTCCGCACCTCTTTCCTCATCCACGATAAAGAGACTCAAACATCAGAAACGGCAAGTCCATTCCAATTCCTCGTCATTTGGCGCAGGCACCTTGTCTTCACTATTACTTGGGTATCTTAACTATTTTGGTGTGCACTTTCCATTTCCCAGTGGCGTCTTGAATACTAAGGTACGAACCCATAAGTGTGCCATTTTCAGCTTGAGGTGTGGAAGGAGTTCGTGAGAACTTTCGATAAGGTAGATGTTCTCATCGTCCTTTTCCTTCTTTCTTGATTGATCCCAAAGCAAGATAGATGACCCTGGAGACTGCCCCCATAAGGTACGCTTAGAAGTGACCTGACCAGGGCGGATTCGAGCAAGTGAGGCAGGCGAGGTCCTGTTACTGACAAGAAGTCCTACAGATAGACGGCATGTGTCTGAGTTCAGGTTTTCCCGTCACCCTTCGGAAAATTTCAAACGTACCACTGCTGTAGGAGTCGGGAAAGCACTGCCCTCTGCCACTCATCATTTGGCGACCCACCTATCCCAATCTAGGTGGAAGGTGGGACGGCGTGGACGGGAGCGGGTCAAACTCTCCTGGCCAATCACAGCAGCTCGTTTTGACCACCAACGGACCTGCCTTCCTTCAGCTACCTTACTTACCAAGTGAGGTGAAGTACCTACATCGCGTGTAGTCGTCGTGTAATGAGAAGGACCGCGGAGTGAAGGCTCTTTCCACTTCCATTTGGAATCTTCGAGTTGTCCACCCAATCGAGCCAATCACTTGCTGTTCTTCGGAACGAAGGTGGACATCAGATTCTTCAGGAAAGTGCAAGTCCAGTGCCATGCCTTGAGGAAAGACACCTTAACAACCGGACTTGCTGTCGGGCAATAATGAGTCTTGTTTCTGAGGCTTATTGCAAGACTTCGGCTTCCTGCCTCTGCAATAAGCCTGATCCTCTGAGATCACCAGCAGATACCTTCGAAGTTGCACTCACGCATCGTGATTGCTATCATTGCAGGGATTCACAGTGTCCGGTTCCACCCTTTTCGGAGACTTGTGCGGTTTTCGCGTTGAATTAGACAAGAAAATGCCTTCCGCCCTGTCTAGGTAGGTTAGGCATCTTGCTTCCACGGGTCTTGCTTTCCCTGGTCTTGTAAGCTCCAGTTACATTCATCTTGCTCTTGCTCTTCCCAATCCAACCGCCTTCGTTCCTTCCAGTAGTCATCTCTGCCAGTCTGCCAGAGGTACCTAGGAAGGTACCTTATTTTTCTGGTTACAGACGCTTGATGCCGGCATGCTGAAGTATGAGTGGGAGTGGAAAGAACGAAGAATGAAAGGACCTTTGGTAACTATCATTTCAGACCTTAATGCGTCCTTCCTCAAGGCGGGCAAGGTATGTGAAGGGAGTCTGGCAACAAGGGTAAAAGACACGGTTCGCCAGTGATTGCTATTTGTTGCTCATGACGATTCAAGTGTGTTGATAGCTGCTGCAATTCCTGCCATACAGGGAGCACTTCCTTCCTACCGAAGTTTAGTATTCTTTGGGGTACCTTCCGCTCCTCGACATGGCGTTCCTTCCCTCGTTGTCTCTCAACGCCCGTGTCGTCATTGTGGTGCCTCCATGCCTGACGAACCTGCTGGTTCTTGAGAAGGAGGAAGGTACGGGGACTCATGATCAGGCCAGAGAAGGAAGGAAGCCCGCAAAAACTCTCTCGTGGGCGTTCTACTTAATCCCCTTCTCGCCCCGTTCCCCTCTTCTGAACTTCTTCTCTTCTTCGGACCACGAGTAACGTACGTTGATCACCCCCAAAGGACGAGTTTTCGATCAAACTTTGCTGACTTGACTACAGACGAATCTCAAGTGAACTGCCTTCTCGTCTTTTTTTTCGTCTACTCTTTGTCCTTTCATCAGAACCTGCCGCAATCTGCTCTCCGCCGCCGCCATCTGCTCTCTGCCGCCGCCGCCGCCGCCGTCGCCGCAGCCATGGAATCCGTTGTTGAGACGGTTTCCTCCGCCGCCGCCTGGGTTCTTGGCGTGACCCTGGCCATCGCCAACGCCTCGTTCGCGTGGATCTCCTCGTGGATCCCGGTTTTGTTGGTCTTCGACATGGTCGCGACCTCCTGGCTGGTTTGCCATACTTTGGGTTCGTCCGATATCCATCCCATTCCATTATCATCACATCATCTCATTCCATTATGCTCATCACATCTTCTATCCTTTACTAACCTATGTCAGTCATCCACCACCTCATCCCCGCCGCCCGCGACGTTCCCCTTTGGACCCTCCGCCCGCCCTCGGAGCTTGTCACCGCCTACGCCCTCTTGGGTGTTTACGTCTTCGTCCTCTTTCACACAGCTGGCTGCCTGGTGTCCCTCTGGTGGTATTCGTACCGCATTATACGACGAGGGTACCGGATCCCGAGAGGAGCTGTCACCCGCCGAAAGGTGGTTATGCAGACCCTGGCCGACGCCGACGATTCCCGGTACTGGTTCGACCTGGGGTTCCGACCCAACCTCTGCCTTCGCTGCTCCCGTAACGCCGACTTGGAAGGTGGGGAGGGCCCTGGGTCGATACTGGACCGGATGTACCACGGCACGACGAACAAGGGGGTGGACTTGGGGTGCATCGCGCTCTTTGACCACTATGTAAGTTATCCTCCTTCTCCCTCGTGTTGGCAGAGCTCGGCTAATGATTCTGGTCATGTGATCTAGTGTTGGTGGTTATGGTGTCCGGTCTCCTTGGAGACTCAGAAGCCATACCTGCTCTTTATGGGTTGGGTTGTGGTCTTCCACCTTTACTCTTTGGGGATTCTCTGCTTCTCACTGGCTTCCTTTGGAACCAGGTGGTCGCTGTCCCCAGTTGTCGTGGCTGCCGGAGCCCTTCCCTTCGTATTCCTGTGGGTGAAGAAGGCGCCATTCCGGGGTCAATGGGTTAACCAGGGACTTCGGAACCAGACGCACAAAGAGACGACGGCGTATATCCGGAACCTCCCCCAGCAGGCATGGCCGATGGGGATTGCCGGGCCTAACGGCTTGGAGCATGTGACGGTTGGATTTAACCCGTGGGATCTCGGCGCAATGGGAAACCTGCGCGCGGTGCTAGGCGACAGCATCTGGGAGTGGCCTTTCTTCTGGCGTACCCCTCGCAGGGTGCGTGAATTCGGTGCTCACCCCGATTGGGATCTCCCTTTCGGACCTCGGTGGGGCCAGTTCATGGAAGATCGTGCTCTGGTTGTACCAGTTGGGGGTCTACCGGATGGCATTAGCCTCGCTCCTCTCCCTCCCGCCCTCCGCAACGACATTTCGCGGCGCCGACGCATTTGGAGTTCGGAGGATTAGGCTGGCCGGGGGCCGGCGACTTGAGGTCGGTTACTCGCCTCGTCGCGCCCTGGCACACGGTTGGCGGTCGGTTACGCGCCCCTCCGTGACGGCTTGAGGTCGGATTTACTCGCCTCGCCCAGTCTACTCTCGACAATACATGCAGCCTGCCGTGCAAACAGGCACCAATATGTATTACGCCTTCTCAGGACTGATGATCCTGGCAGGCCTCGCCCATCCATTCGAAATTTCGTTTGGACTTGGAGGATGACAACCTCTCTAAAAAACACGGCCGACAATGTCGCACCTTCACGCTGGTGTCGGCTGTCAGTAGTCGGAATTGCGATCGGGCGATCGAAGACGACGAAGCCAACGCGACGGCGGGTCACTGTTCTGTCATTGGAACACAACCTGCCACCCCTGGGTCTCTCAAACTCTCGACAAGTCACACACTCACACTCACACTCACACTCACTCTCACTCTCACTCTCACTCTCAACTTCAACAAACACACATTGTGACTTCGAACTCTTGCCTACCATCAAACATACGCCAGGAATTGTTCACCCCAGGGTTCCTTGCAGTCTCAACACTCTACACTCATCTCATCACTCCGGATCCATTGCACATCTATCATACCATCTGCAATGTGGCTTTGGCACAGGAAGTTTGCACAGCTACCTGCGAGACTGCAATCAACAGAGGCTCATCACCTCGGTAACCAACCTCGGCAATCATCCACACCTTGCCTTGAGGTTCGACCACCACCCTTCGCTCAACAACATTCTCTTTCAACACTGTCTCCACAGACTCTTGACACAACTCATTTCCGACACAATCACGGACATCGGATGATTCATCAGTCGATTGAGACATCAGTTGAGCGACACATCGCTTGAACAACACATCAGTTCAACGGCACATCAGCTGACTGACACATCAGTCAATCAACATGGAGAGCACCTTCGCTTCTCCATCATCAACATCTCTGGACTCCGCTTCAGATCGGCACATGGATGGTTTCTTCCTCATCCACGACTCACTTTGATCCATCTCTGGTCAAGTTTGGTTCTCCATGCACTCGAACCATCTCTCCACATGCTTTCCAAGCAGCAGCAACTCGACCATTTGTCCTCATCCCATTCGTACCAATCGATGACCTTTGGTTGATCCTCCAACATCCTTAAGACGTAACAATCTTGAGACGTAACACTCACACACCACGTCTCTTACCCGAACATTCTCGTTTCTGGGGCAGCAGAAACTCGGCAAACTATTTCGGCAGTTCTCACACTTTTGACTTCAAGCTCTTGGCTCTCTGTTCACTTCATGATTCTTGGGCCACAGATACTCGGCATTTCACTTTCAACCAACTATTTCATCTTCTTTGACTCTGGTCTTGGCAGAGTGTTCCTGAAGCAGCAGGAACACGACACACTTCTCTCATCCACACTCTCGGCTTGCGACTTGGCACTCGCGAACTCAGCCTTCTTCTTTCATCTCGTTTCTGGGGCAGCAGAAACGCGTCACTCCATTTTGACGCACCACTCCATTTCGGGTCATCACTTCATTCCCTTCACTTCGGTTTCCTTTTCTCTCACCCGCACTCTCAGCTCGCGACTTGGCACTCGTGAACTCAACCTTCTTCTCTCATCTTGTTTCTGGGGCAGCAGAAACGCGTCACTCCACTTTGATGCAACACTCCATTCTGGGTCATCACTTCATTTCACTCAGTTCAGTTTCCTTTGGCAGAGGAATTTGACAACTCATTACCTTTCTTCAACTCTTTCAGCAAATCTTATCTTCACTTCGCGTTTCTGGGGCAGCAGAAACCCGACAACTCACTTTATTCAACATCTCTGAATTTCATTTCACTTTCCTCTGGCGGGAGGAATCAACGCTTCACACATCTTTTTCTCTGGCCATTCCTGGCTACTCTTCACGTTTCTGGGGCAGCAGAAACTGGGCACTTCACTCCGATTCGGCAATTTAGACCGGTTCGGCCTTCACTTCATGTTCCTGGTTATCGGAAGCTTGGCACAAACATATCCTTCAACTTCTTTGGCACTTTCTTGCCTTCACCTCACGTTTCTGGGGCAGCAGAAACTTGGCATCTCGTCTTATTCAACAACTTTGAACTTCACTTCACTTTCCTCTGGCGCGAGGAAACCAGTACTTCACACGGCACTTTCTCCATTTCCGGTACTTCACACTTTCACTCGGCATTTCTGGGGCAGCAGAAATGTTCTCTCCTCACTTCGCTCTCTTGGCAACTTGAGCTCGGAACCCAACACATCAATCATCTTGTTTGGACTTCTCTCTTTTCCTTGCTTCCTATTCTTCTTCTGAGACAGCAGAAGCAGACATATGGCTCAACACATCTCATTTTTCACTCCCCGTTCCTCCGGCGACAGGAACCCAACAGACCACACTTTCTCTTCTTTTGCACTCTCCCCATGTGTCTGGGGCAGCAGAAACTCCTCAAGTCACATGACAACGGCCCCTCTGATTCATCTCACTTTCAATGTCACAGGAGCTTGGCACTCCTCGCATATTCAAACCCTTCAAGCAATCTTCTATCTTTCAACTTGCTTTTGAAGCAGCAGAAGCACCACACTTGACCACCCGCCGATCTCTATTCAAAACAGCCAGGCATCTCTCTCATTTCATTCTTGGATCAGCAAGGGTGATACACAACTCGCTCATCCATCTGTTTGGCACTCTTCTCTCGGCTTTTCATCGGCACTTTTGGAGCCGGCTTCATTTGCTGACTCTTGGCGGCTGTCTTCGGGGCCTGCGGCGGACATCCCCCGGCCACCAGGCGGCAAATCGTCAGTCATTCATCATTGTCCACCTTTCTTCTTGATGCGACCTCGCCACTTGGAACCTTCACATCAGAGACGCCTATCGACAAACGGGAAGGGGTCCGGTTGGCGCCGAGCTGAGAAGCGTTCTTCACAGAACATTCCTTCAATGGGCACTTAAATGCTCAACCATTCTTCTCAGCAGATGGATCAATCGCACGCAACTGGGCGATCTGTTTGTCTTTTTCACACACCCGGGGCGTGAATGCTAGGGCGGTGGAAAGATGTGGCCTACCCTTGCTCACCCAAAGGCTTGTACTTTCGTCACGATCTAACGTTGCAGCTGCTGATCAGCACATGTACCAGAACAACAGATCACGCAGCGCTAGCGTCTTGCTAATTCAGTCACTTGGAGCTTGCAGGCTGCGAGCTCAGAGTTGCAGTCGAGCGTTGTAACGGGACGTTGCAAGCCACCACCAATCAACGCCATAGACACCGGTACTTGAACCAGGATCAAGTACGTCACATCTTGATCGACATTCCATGATGGAAATGTACTGATGTTCCGGCACAGGTAACGACGGTCTCATCGCTTTGCGAGCCAACCAGTATTTGGAGGTCTGCTCATGGTATGGTTTGGAATTACTGACCTGTGCTTCAGCTTCTTGAGTCGAAGTCTGGCCGCGCTTGTGGTTGTGTCGAAGCTCCTACTCGGACGACGCGTAAGGGTTCAACAGAGGCACGAAGATACGTTGCCGTGTCGCATATTGATTGGTTACCGAAAGGTATGTCTCGATTCAATCACTCTGTGCTCCAGCTTGACCACTGACCACAAGTCTTCGTCCAGTTCCCAGACAACTACCAAGTCCAGACAGAATGCCGACTTTGAGGGACAAAATAGGGCATTGGTGGAAAGGGATATCTTGATCGGCTTGGGAAAGCTAGAGGATCGTTTCAGTGCAGTGGGATCCGCTACACGGAGGATTATCTAGAAGGCAAGGGGAGAAGGCCAAGGGATGGAGCGCGGAACACCAGGGCATACTTGAGGCGGAAGCCCTTCAGGACACGTGCATTTGGAGGCGATGAGCGATGCCATACATGTTAGAAGCAACGCGTTCAGATCTGTCGTTTGACAAGCAACCTCCGATAGGCGATTGTCAGCGGTCTCTTGAGCTCCTACCTATGATGACTTCGGTGTTTTCGCAGGACCAACGCAGGAATTTAGGTTTTGTTTCCACGCGCACATGTTTTCAAGTGTTGTAGTTCCTCTTTGTTGGAAGTCGATGCCAGGAGCATCTCGCCTACGGATCGCCGAGGTAAAAAAACGTTTAACAAAGAAGACGAACGTTGCAGAAATTCAACTCGGCTGGGATCACAGTCATACCAAGCTTGCAAATTGATCGACAGCATCAGGATGAACGGCTTCGCCACGTACGTCGTGGTGTCTCCTGGTGGTTGAGGCAAAGGAAGCGGCCCCGCTTTGGGGGGAAAAAACGGCAACGCATCGTTGCCCGTCCGGGCCCGGGCGGACAAAGAAGCTATTCAGGTTGTGGTGAGCTTCGCTGTGAATAGCTTCTTTGTTTGTTGTGAACACAGTCAAAATCAAAGGCTTGATCATTCTCGGGTATCGCGTCTGATTTAAACATCTCAAATCTGTAGATAAAGCTGCCCACCTCTGATTCTAAGATGATGGCCGCTCATGAGGGCGAAAAGCTTGTTCCGTGCCAAGTCAATTGTTCGTTTCTCTGCATAACACACTGAACAGATTTTCTCGAGTTAGGATGACCTGCCTTCAATCTCTACCCCCCGAGACTATCTTGCAAATCGCAGCTTGTTCAGACCTCAGTTTCTCATGCCTTCGCCATCTCCGACTCACCTGTCGCGGCCTTGCCGTATATATCGCACCGCTCTTGTACCGCAAAGCTGTTCGGGACCACGCCGTTCTCCTGCGACTGGTGCGGAACGACCAAAGCGATATCATTCTGCGGGTTTTGAAAAGCCAGATCAGGCCAGATTGTGTTGCACCTCAACACTACCTAGATAGCTGCCTCCACGACGCCCTTCTGGGAGGTCACCTCAAGGCTGCCGACGTCCTTTTCGGTAATGGAGCTGAACCTGTCTTTAGTATCGACGTTGCAAATCGCTCAGAGCATCGTGAGACCAGGGATTGGCTTCAAGTCCATGATGCAACGGGACTCGGGTCTCTCGCACTTGCAGCGAGAAGCCGCTATCACATGACGTTCTGGTATAAGGATTTTGAGCCTTACACATCCGAGGAAGAGTTCTGGATCTATAAGAAGAAGGCGATGAAGACTATCTTAGAGAAACTCAGATCCCATTTTGGTCGGGATTCAGATCAGTATGGATTGAAGATATCGGAGGCCCATTATTTGAGAGATGAACACGAGGATGGGAAGAAGGAACCGATGCTTCGACATCCGAAATACGCCAGAGAGCTTGACATGGCCCTCGCCGAGGCTGCAACTGCAGACGGGCACTCTATCGAACTGATGGACTTCCTATTCGGGTGTGGAGCAACTGTCACCTGCGAACTCACACCGCAGCTTGCTGGGCATGCCTGGCACAATGCCCTGAACGAGGAAATTCCGGCTCTTTTCGAGGCCAAAGTGGATCTGCTCCTGCGTCATGGCGTCGACCCGACGAGTGTTTGGACCTGGGAGGGTATGCGGACACCGATACAGTTTTTCCTCCGCAAGTTATACCGGAATTTTCAATACTTTGAGGAACCCGGCGCCTTCACAAATAAGGTCTTTGGTTATATGGAATACCTAGAGTCGCGTGGCTGCCTACGCTGGCCAAGATCCACTCTCAGATCCTTTGTGCTCAGCGTCGGAACTGTTCAGATCAACTGCATCATCGACTATCCTCGTGCGGAGGAGCACGATGATATGAGTACCACTAGTCTTATTGAAGACGCCACAGATGGCAGGCGTGAGCTTGAGCTCATATTTAAAGAGCCGGACCCATCCCTGCTACCACTCCGAGTAGCTCTATCGAACCAAATTGCACTGAAGCACTTCCGGGATCTGGTGATTCTACCGTCGCCCACATTCAGAGAGTGGGTTGATAAGGAGTCAATGTCCAATGCTATTCAAGATCTCGATAGAATGTTCAGGACTTTTTCTGTCTCGTCACCTAGTGTGGAAAGCACCCGTGCTGCAGAGGATCAGCTCAGCGAGAATCATCCTGGACCCGAGGATGAGAGTAGCAGTTAGGCTATGCCCAGTAGTTTATCGATGGAGAATTGGACATTGCGCACTTACCTTTTGAACATGCTGATATGGAAGAGCCACTAGGTACTGCTGGGGCTTAATCACATCCATTTGGTTCTCCTCCTTCCCGAAGATGTGTCAAAAGGGAAATACGTGGCTGGAGATGCCCGAAAGTCTACTTCATCATCACATATGATCTAGGTATCCTTAATCCTAGAATATGCCGCACTGAATCCAACGCTTCTCGAGTTGTTGCCTTCATGACTAGCCCTGCAGCCACTTGAAGTGCTAGAGTGAAAAGAGCAACCCTCCTCGCCTACCACTCCGCCCCTCGTTTCATTGCAGTTACTCAATCAATCTGAGTCGTGAATCTTCATCCGTGTTGACCCCCAAGGTCTTACCTCTCAGGGTTGGAGGTGATCAAGGTTCAATTACAACTCGGTACGCCAAGCAAACTCGGAGATGCAGGCATGTCTTCAGGGCTCGAGCAAGTTCAGAGAGGTTCTCGAGAGGTATGAATCGCCAGCCTCTTTCCATAATGCTGGCTTGGAAACCTGCCAGTCTACCACACACACACACACACACACACGTACATACATACACAAAACACCTTCGTCTGTGAGACAACAGCAACCCATCAAGCACGCATCTCAACACCACATCAGCCATCATACTTCACTCTATCAAAACTACCATTGAGGAAACAGCCAAAATGAAGTTCACCACTATTCTTCTTGCCGTATTGCCTCTCGTTGCCGCCGGCGGAGGCCCAAAGGACCCAGATAGTCTTCCGAGGATACGACTTCCGCTTCACGAACTGCCCGAGTGCTGGCAGGAGTGTTTGCAGCTAGAAAACAACCACTACCCTCCCAATATCAACAATGTTAACGTACACGACTTTTGTGTCGACAACGGCTACCACCTCCGATGGTGGTCTTTCCACACCCTCGCTACATGCACAGCGGGCAAATGCAATAGGGAAGAAGGCTTACAGTCACAGGAGTGGCTGTTCGATCTCTGCAAAATGAACTAGTTCCAAACAGAGACAAAATTGCGTGACGCACATAGGCTGTTCGAACAATTCGCCTTCAAATGACATCGGATAAATACGACAGTATTTCCATGGCCGAGGTTCCAAACACCGATGACCTACAGGAAGCTAGGCTCAATTGGTGTTGAAGGGCCACAAATTACAACAAGATATGTAATAGAGCTCGGCTATCATTGGAAGTTAGAGACAGGAACGACGCTCGCAGTGAAATAAAGGGTGCGAGCTAGCAATGGCCTCAGTGATTATCTAACCGAGGACCGGGTGAAGGGTGATGAGGCTATGGATGATTAAGGTCATCGCGACAGATGGGCATTTGAGGAAGCCCCAGCCTTAGTGCTGGAAGTTATCAATACGTCAACACGCAATATGCAGCTGGCAAGATGGACAAAGATGAGAGGGCAGAATGGAGGCGTTCGAGACTGATTGATATGAGCTTCACTTGTCGAAGGCCTAAACTTAGAAACGTAGCTGCTCCTAGTACAGGCAGCTGGCAGCTGTTGAGAATGCTTTAAGGGCGACTACATCATCACTATAAAATGATAGTTAATGACTATCAAGAAGATGCTCCATGAATCATCGCCTGGACCTCCTGTAATAACAAGACGGCAGGCTCTTGACTCAACTCACGATGGCATATAGCGCTACCCATCGGGTTCATGTCGCCATGAATGCAGCGGCACACTGCACTGGAATCATGCATGAGCTCGTATAGGTATTCCAGAATGGGACTGGGGAGACCCAGAGACCGTGATGACAGGACAGTCGTTCGTTGACTCGTTGTACACATACCCATTTTATGAAGGTGAAGTCCCGAGAATTCTTTGCTTCTGGCTGTCACCATTGGCACCCATCTGTCATAAGAACGGCAAACAGAATGGTACTGGAGCTATTAAATGAGCACCGAGAGAAGAAGAAATCATACAATAAGAGCAGGGGAACGTGAAGCCGTGTTCTCTCGGAAAGGGTCGAGACATAACACACGGCTAGCTGCCTGCAAGACGCTCGAAATACTATCCGCGTATCCTCGGGAAGCCGCTGAGTCAACCCGAGACTTGATCTCAGGAGGTTGCCAGATTAGGCGAAGTGGATTCATCACCGACCCATCTAATTGGTTGAATGGAGACATTGGCAATTTGAATCGCAAGTTTGAACCTCCAGGCGCATGAACATGACCCAGAAGTCACACCTGAGGCGCTATCGACCTAGAATACCCAGAGGGTAATGTATTTGTGCAGCTGACGAGGAGTGAACAAAGGACAACCTTGTGTTCACCGGTAACACGAAAACATGGTGTTTGCTACCTTGCCTTGGTCAATGGTGACCGCAACGGATGTTTGGTTCCTTCAAAGCCGTCATTTGTTTGAAGTTCCGTCTCCACCATGACTCGCAGGCCTTGGCCTGTCACTTTCGTCTCATTGGCTGGCGACACGCCAAAGGATGCGGTGCAGCAACGCGATGAGCACTAAGGACCTAGGCTGGCGGCCCGATGGGGCGCCTGCATGATGCAAGGCAGCGAGAGAGAAATTGTTGAGTGACCTTTGCAGTACTTTCATATTTATGTAGGTAGACGACGGCGGAATCAAGGCCTGTTGTTCAGTCCCGTTGTCCAGTTGATGGTATTCTGAAGGGTCAGAAAATGCAAAAAGTACGAGGTGGAACGCTTTTACCGTATGACGTAAGGCATCCTGGACGTACAGGTAAAAAAGTCCGTCCGGCGTCCGGGATCGTCGGGTTGACGGAGCCGGAGGCGGCGGATGATAAGGTAAGCTGACAGGTGACAAGGATTGGTCACAGGGGTTGGTTGAGAGCGCTGCAATGCACCAGGCACGCCGCACACCAGATTCTCCCGCTCATTCTCCCAGGTCGATTACCACATCAAAGAGAAATGGATTGGCACCCTGGATCCAGATGCGTTATGGATGGGTCCCGCGTGCCCGCCCCATGCCGCTGTCCGCCCGTCATGCCGGGCTGACGCTTTAGACCCTTCCTCCGAGCGACCTCGCACCGTTACGCTGACGAGTAGAAGTTCCTCAAATCAAAAAAAAAGTGCGAATGCAACGAGGACTACGTTCTTTGTAATACATCACTTTTTCCTGTCTGCGAAACGGACACCCGATCACACAGTACTATACACATACAATGACGACCGATACCGCAGCTTCTGACCCCGCGGCCAGGGTCAAGTCCCACGCCTCGACGGTGTCTGATGTTGGGTATCCTCATGGCCACTTGGGTCACCTCAACGAGCACGAGGAGACGCAGCTCGCCGCCTTCAGAACGTTGCTCGAGGAGAAGGGGCTGTATAAGCCAGGCCCGCCAGCTTCCCACGACGACCCTACTCTGCTGTGAGTTATTCAGCAAGATCCTCTTTTTCTGCCGCAGTCACCTACTGCGCCGGAACATCCGGAAGCAGACAGGAATGGCATTTTTTGCTGACTTTTTTCCGCCTTATCTTGCAGCCGATACCTTCGCGCACGAAGATGGGTCCCCGAAGACGCTCTCACGCAGTTCAAGGACACGGAAGCCTGGCGCGCCGCCAACGACATTGACGTTCTCTACCAGACCATCGAGCTCGACGCCTTTGAGCAGTCTCGTCGCCTCTACCCGCAATGGCTTGGCCGCCGTGACCGTCGCGGCATTCCCATCTACCTCTTTGAGGTCCAGAAACTTGATAGCAAGACGGTCGCTACCTATGAGAAGCTGGGCAAGGAATCGACCTTTAGCAAGGCCAAGTTCGATGGCAAGACGCCCGCGGGCATGATGCGCCTATTTGCGCTGTACGAAAACCTCACCCGCTTCACGCAGCCGCTGTCGACGCAGCTCAGGGACCGCGAGCACCGCGATGCTCCCATCACCCTGAGCACCAACATCGTTGATATCTCTGGGGTCAGTTTGAAGCAGTTTTGGAATCTGAAGGGACACATGCAGGCTGCAAGTCAGCTCGCAACGGCTCATTACCCAGAGACTCTCGATCGTAAGCAGACATCCATCGCCGTCATACTCACTGTACTGACAGACCATTACCAGGTATCTTCATCATCGGTGCCCCTGCATTCTTCTCCACAGTCTGGGCCTGGATCAAGCGTTGGTTCGACCCGATCACAGTCTCCAAGATCTTCATCCTCAGCCCCCACGAGGTCCGCCCGACACTCGAGCAGTTCATCGAACCCCGCAACATCCCGAAGCAGTACGGAGGCGAGCTCGAGTTCAAGTTTGGCGATCAGCCAACCGTCGACTCCGCATGGGAGGGAATTGTGGAGTGGGCGCCTGGTCACGACCGCTTCACGTCACGCCCTGCCATCTGGCGCGAGACCGAAGATGGTGCCCGTGTTGAGTGCATTGGTATCGGCAGCGTCAAGGGCGTCGAGCAAAACGAGGTGATTTGCTCTGTACCCAAGACGTGGCCGCCCAAGGCTGAGGTACCTGCTGCTGAGCCGACACCGATTGCCACACCTGCGACTAAGGAAGGGAGCGTGACGGAAGAGGCTGCCGCCAAGACGGAGACCGAAGCGCCTGTCAAGGCCGCCGATGCGCCAGAGGCTGGCATACAGAAGCTTTCCATTGCAGACGATAAGCAGGTCGCGGAGAAACACGTCGAGGGCAGCACGTCGACGCCCCCGTCGGGACTGGCATAGACTAGTGGTAAACGGGCATGACTTCGAGACTGGGGTTTGCATATTTGGTGTGGCAGGGTTGATCTGCTTGGTGACCTGGATATGGTTTGATCTAATACCCCAATGGTGATGGAGTAGGTCTGGCAGGGCAAGGCAACATTGGCTGGAGTTACATCTTTATCGATTCATTTCGGGCATCTATTTAATAATAAAGCATTTGGTATCACGACGTTGTACCGTCCCATCTACCCAACGACCCTTAGGAAAACGCAACGAAGGTGGATCTAGGTTTGGGTCATCCCGTCTCTCCATCCAATCTATCGGATCTATCCTGTCCGTGTGCAAGTGCAACAGGAACAAAAGTTTATCACACAACCCACCAAACGCCTTTTTGTGCAAACCCGGCCCGCCATCCAGTCGTACAACAAGGAACATCTATCCCGAGTGCCCCCTCCTCTTGCGCCACTCCGCCACGCCCTTCTCGATCTCGTTCCACGTCACACCATCCCTCACGAGCTGCATGGTGACTCCCAAGCTCTCCGTCTCCCGGTTTCGACTCTCGTCGTCAAAGAACAGCATATCCGTAAATGGAATGCCCGTCTTCTTGAATATGGTCTCAAAATGTTTAATCTTGCTACTAGGGTATATCTCCAACGGTGCGTCAAAGTACTCAAGCGCCCGCTTTGTCTTCTCCTTCTTGCCACTCCCTCCTTCTTCGGCACTCGGCGGCGGAACGTGTAGAAGCTTTAGCATATCCCGTGCAAGATCGGGTGCCGACGTCCGTGACGCGACTGCGATTTTGATGCCTGCTAGTGGCAGAGTGTAGAGTATTCGCGGCACGTCCTGGTAGAAGGCAAAGGACTCGCCATGACGGTCTGTGACTGCCGAATGTGTCGCATTGGCTTTAAGCGGGCCGGAGACGTGTGTATCGACCCAAAAGGGCCAGAGAGTGTAATCGAGATCGAAGACAATGAGCTTCGGAAGGGGGAGCTCGTCGGTCAGGATTCGAGGAAGGGAGAGGGAGGTGGAATTCGTTGTCGAGGTCGATGGCGTCCCGAGGTTTGTGGTGCTCCCTCCTTGGGGATTCTTCGAGAGTTTCTTCGGCATCAGGACTGTGGGAAAGAAGCGATTAGTGAACCCTGTAGCAGGTATACAGCATTCAAAAAGACTAAGAACAGAAGGCGTAGGAAGTTGTTGCGGGTTCAAAAGAAGCGGCGGACAAGCTTCAAAGTGCAATGAGGGGCAAAGTGCCTTCGCTTGCGACTGCTCGCGATAGGTTTCGTCAGAACGTCCTGGCCGTCCTTGGTGGGGAGCGAAGAAGGAGTACGTACCTACCTGGCTCGTGCTTTTGTGGCGGATGCCTGCTCA